TTTTTCAGACAAAGGTGAGTTAGCAGGTGACATTTTAGATACTCCTGATTTAGAGGAGCCCTGGTGGCATAGTGACTCATGTGCCGGGCTGCCCACCCATCACAAGCTCAGCAGTTCAGAACCACCAACCTCCTCACCGAAGAAAGAGGCCTTCCACCCCAGTAAAGAGTTAGTCACAGAAACGTAAAGGGTTTCCCACCGAGTTGCTCTGAATCATAATCGACTCTTTGGGCTGAGTGCTCTGCAGTGAGCTTGGTTTGGGTCGGAGCCCCTGACTTAGGATGTATTAGAGTGAGAACGAGTTACACTTGTGACCATCTGTTTTATGTATTCTAATACATATTATCTTTAGTATCATGCGCTACAATGTAGAAATACATCTGTAAATTGACAAGTAATGCTTCCAGTCCCTCCAACGAGCAGATTTTGACAAAGATAAGGTTAATAATCAGCAACAATAATAACAAATAAAACTAAAAAATAAGTGTAAGTATTCGATTAAATCAGAACTGACTTAAGATGGAGGCAACGGAATGGAACCGTGTCATAATTTGGGGACTACCTGAATTGTTCTGTGTGTCTTGGAGCAGAAGTAAGTCAGTCCATTATGTTATTAAGCTCTGTGTATAGGTCAAGGGAGTGGGCTTTGGAGTCAAGCCAAGCAGGGATACAATCATGGTTGCACTATTTAGTTGTGGAAGCTGCACGGGTGTGTGAGAACGACGCTGGGCAAATGTGTATTATTTCCTGGCTTCAAGCTTCAAATTTATGGTCAGTAGATTGCTAGGTTGTCTTAAAAACATTACTATTAAAGTAAAATATCTTGTGGAGTCTCTCAACATCCTAGGTGGTCCATAAATAGCATCTCTTACCGACAAACAGCATCTACACAGGGAATAAGCCTCCAGGGATTCCCCTCATTGTAATTGAGGGACAGGAATAACGTGGGGACCAGACAGAGAGTACTGGAGACAACTAGATGGATGCAAATGATCACTCGGACGTGAGCGGAATAAACCCTGTCACTTGGCCTCCTCTGTGCTTGATCTGGTTTTTAATCCTTTCTGTTTCTTTTTTTCACATGAGGGCTTGTCTCTGTTGTATTTTGTCATTGTTGGCAGCCTTCCTGACTCTCTGTTAAGTGTTTTTCGGTATATGAAAGCCAGGATAGGAGAAAGTATAGAGATGACAAATAGAATAAGGGTTCTTGGGGGGTGCACATTGAGGGAGGTGGAGGGGAGTGGTTAAGGAAGAGCTGCTATTAAGAAGTTCAAGAAGGAATAAAATATTTTGGGACTGACTGTGGTGATTGTATAAGTCTGCTTGATATGATTGAACGATGGACTGGTATGATGTATGGATTAGCTCCTAATAAATGGTTTGGGGGGCAGGGGGGAAGACTGTGTGCCCAATCAAAGCACCCTACTTACTGCAAGGCCAGATTATCAACCTAGACAGCATATGGCTGACGAGTCCAATATTTTGATTGAAATGTATTTGAAATAATGTCTTGCATTCATTATTTCCTGATGGCCACCCTAAATGAAATCCCATCTGCCTTACAAAGTACAAGTCTGACAGAAAGATGAGAGGCTGTAAGAATGTGCAATGTATCTAAATGGTAAAAATCCTTTTGGAAGTAATTCTGTTTTAATAATGTATATCCATCTTAAACAATGTCTTTTTCACCAGAACACAATGTCAGTGACTAGAGAAGAATGTTCTGTGAACATTGTGAATCTAAGAAATGTTAGGGGGAAACCCACCCAGCCAAGTAAACACTGCTTTCAATTTCTAGTCGTAGCTGTGCAGATACGGAGCAAAGAAGAGAATCATTTGTTTTAGATCTCGCTCGTCTCCTTCCTGCATTCCCACACCCCCCCTCCCCACCACCTAAAGCTCGAACTGTACACCTCATGGGCACACAGAAACAGATGTGGACCTTGCACTCCATCTCCCATTCGATACTGCAATCACTTTTCAGATTCAAAAGACAGAAGGAGTCTGGCAGCTTTTTAGGATAATTTCAAAATACCCAACATTTGGAATAGTGCCGTGGGGCCTTCCACAGCATTCCCAATCGGAGCCCCTGGAAGGTATTATGAAATGTGGAATTCTGAGACGCGGTAATAAAACTGTACAATGTAGTTTACCTCATTCAAATGCTTTTTTGAAAGTGCCATATGTACATTTTCTAACATGTCTGAATGCCCCACATTGGAAAGGCTAGGAAAATGAGCCAAATAAGAACATCTCGCAATGAGCTGGGTAGGTCAGGGGGAAAAAAGCACAATAGTACTGATATCTTAAAATGAACATTTTAAGGAATAAAATAGCAGTAGAACTGAGCTTCAATTGATTCCTGAACCAAAATGTTTTTTCTCTCCTTACTCTCCTCATCTAGTAGAAAGCTATACGACCCGGACGTTGTTTAACTACCCTGTGTCGACTTCTGAACCACTCACAGTGTTGGCCCCCTACATCTTAGCTATTGCAATCGTTCGACGATGCTTTTGAGAGACTTGGCAGTAAGCATGCATCTTGTCCTCTGAGAGTGGGAGGATCACTGTTTCTTTGATTACGTATCATTGTTCAACTGTGATTGTTGTGGTGTTTAAGCCAAAACGAACCCAAACCCAGTGCCTATGAGTCGATTCCTACCCATGTGGGCCCCTGGGAAGGTTCCCTCGGAAATGGCCTTTGACTCTGCGCTTTGTTTCTTCATTTGAGGTTTACATTTGTCTGGTAGAGGTCAACAGATTGATTAGGGGTGGTACGAAGTTGCATCACATCCTATTTCTATAATAAATCTCATTTGGATAAATAGTTCACTTTGATGAAAAATAGGGCTGAACATACATTTTCTTCTCTTCTCTTGCTATTTACTCACTTCTAAGTTATATTTACAGTTAGTGGTTGATGGCTTAAATCTCACATCTGAAATTTCAAAAGCCAGCAGATGGAACATTTTAGCACAGGTAGAATTACCTCTGTATGCTTGCTAAGCCAAAGGAGAGAAAGCAGAAAAATATCTGTAGATTGGGTTCTCAACATGGATGTGCTTATAAACCATTACAACAGGATTAGTGAAAGAATATTCCAGGGTTCTTGCAGTCTATAAGAAGAGAAGGTCTTGACACAATGGATGTATGCATAGATTGTGATAAGAGTTGGACGAGCCCCCAATAAAATGATTTAAAAGAAAATGAGGAGTGGATAACAAGGGCTCAAGTAGAAAGAAAATGTTTTGAAAATGATGATGGTAACAAATGTACAATTGTGCTTGACAATAAAATGATTTAAAAAAAAAAAAAGAAAAAGAAAGAAGGGTAGGTAGCAAACAAACATTTGTATGAATTATTCCTTACCTGGAGTCCTTAAGCTTAGCCCTGATCAACCTTGCAATGATTCATTTACCCAGAGTGGCTATTTCCAGAAAATTTACATGTTTATTTCTTTATTTTCTAATAGTTGTAAATGCTTCTCTAGTTTTTGAAATTATTTTCACACTATTTCAAAACAGAACTGAGAAATCTTTGTTTGAATCCCATATATTTTATAAAACATTTTCTTCCTGCTTTGATTCCTTATTTGTCTGTACTCTAGCAATAACCTGAGATTAATCAGGAGTTTAGTCATTTTTAATAGTTTTCACTGTTCTACAAAAAGCCCCAAGAAAACAACAAGTCCCTAGAGACTTTGGTGGCACGCCTGAAAGCAGCCAGGCTCTTACCAAGGGCACAGGATGTAAATGCCATTATAGAAATCCCACAGCTGGGTTCTGCTCGGCCACCTGTCATGTGCAACCACAGCCTTGCTTACCTGCCCTGGCACCTGGCTACCATAGTGAATGGGCTAAAGTCATACATCGAGTTCTAAAGTCTGGCAGACTAAAGAAGGCAGCTATCGAGCTGGACAGCTGGTGTTAAAATTATGTATTTCCAGTTGAGCATTTCTCAAAATATGAACACTGGGGAAACAATAACACATGTTGGTACAACTGCGCAGGACAATTCGGCTCCCACTCCAGCTTGCAAAGGGACAGCTGGTGAGGCTTGTCAGCGAACGTTATAATAAAGGTGCCCTGGCTGGAACATAGCTACTGCGAAGGTTAAAATATTCCACTTGATTGGTTAGACAAGGAGGCTATGAAAAATCTCCTGAGTCTCTTAAATGTGAAATGCCCAGGTCGCTATGTTCCTTTTTAACAGGCAGACCAAGTGGAGGAAATGGAGACGCTGATGTGATAGGAAGACGACTGGCAAATGCCCTTTTGGAATTTTAGGTTGATAATATAATTCAGGGAAGGTTTACATTGAACAAGGGCTCCACATATGTCTTGGAAAAGAAGTGTTATCTCTCTGTTGAAGGCCCCACGGTGCCACTAGCCTGCTGTACAACGCTGGGCAAGTGACAAGCCCTTTGTGCTTCAGTTCCCCCATTGTAAAATGAGAGAATTGGACGAGCCGTCTTTAAGATCTCTGTCAGCTCTGGGCTTCTCCAATCCTATGGAGGAAACTCATAAAATAACACGGCTTATGGCTTGTTTTATGGTACCACGTCTTTGACTAGTCCATTTAACACACGTTTTGCTGGTGACTCTCCCGAGGGTAGACCAGAAACTCTTTTCAATTCCTTCCTTTTGGCACTAGGGTCTTGTTCTCTGAAACACTGCCTGAGATAATTTTGCACAGAAGAGAGTTCAACGCATCCTCCCACTTCGCGCTTCATTAAATGACTCCACAGGCATGTCGTCACACCATACTTCAACGCAGACATGGGAGGGGTGCCTTAAAGGTCAGTATGTAAACTAACAATGGTCTTCAAGCTTGGGTGGTCCCATTCTGTTTTTGAGTCTTTTATCTTAAAGCCACGGTGTCTTTATTGGCTTAAACATTTGGTCAAGGATAGAGAGACGAGAATTTTGGGGAAGACCAAACGTGTAAGAGAGGAAAGGGCGACCAACTACCAGAGAGCAAGAGACAGCAGAGGGAGCTTACGGGTCAAAGGCTGCAAGCAGGAAATTGAGCAGGAGGCTGATGGACTGCTCTACGTGGATTTGGTGAGTGGTTGGCATCCGTTTGTTGAGCTGGTAAAAAATGGTGGAGAGCACCGCCTCCAAGCGGGCCACATTGAGTTCTGTGTTCGGGTCCAGGTTGTTGAGCGCATTCTCCCGCAACGCTTCTATGACGTTCCAGATGTCCACCAGGTGCACTGCAGACAAGGAAAGCAGAGCAAACATGTCAGGCCGAAGTCACGGAAAGGTGAATTGATTCTTCTAAATGTACCCAATGTTCTAAACTCTTACTGGTATGTGACCACCTGTTATGCAGGTGGATGTGAGCAAAGGCATCCAGCGCATGATGTCAATAGATAACAGCAAGCTACGGACTGACTAGACACTGAAATAGATCCTTATTTCGAATCTTCGTTATTCACCCTTGGAATAGTGCCTCTTTCCATGTTTCATGTGAGGAATCTGACGATTGGAGACATGAACCGACAAATTGCAAGGCTAGTCAATAGTGAAATTGATACTTCAATTCAAGATTGTCTGGTTTAATAGCGTTTTCCACTCTCTATCACCCACCCTTCAAAAAGAAAATAAGTATGTTTGAAAGAATAGCAAAACTGCATTTGAGTATTGTGGTAGTTACGTAATCTGGTACCACTTAAGGCTATTAAGAGCAAAGGGGTGGAGGATAGCCTGTCAATCAGGTCGCAGCTAGATGACCTCATCTGGAGGAGTTACAGAGATAACCAGCTCACTGGAGGCCACACCCATGCACTCTGCTTTTCTTCCTGCTGACAAGCCACATGGAGATCCCTGGTGGAACCGGAGCCCTGGAGCTGGAGGAGCCACGTGGAGACCCACGCCAGCGCTGAGATGCTCTCACTGCCACTGCATCCACGAGACTTCCCCCCACTGGCCTGTGATCTCCCTGCATTCTGTGCCATTGCATGCATTGCGTAAGTCTGAAGAGGAATTTATAGATTGGCATCGGAAGAGGGGTTGATATCGGACTTATGGACTTGATCTGGACTGTGTTAGGATGTTTTCTTAATATACAATATCTTTTATATAAAGCTCTTTTTTATATGAGTCTCCCTTGATTTGTCTCTCTAGTCAACCCAGACCAACCCGGACTAACACAAGTACTTAAAATGGTTTGATGAGGTTTGAATTAATAAAAAAGAAAGGAAAAACTAAAGGAGGCAGGAAGACAAGGGAATAGGAAATATTCAATTATACAACAGCAAAACTAAGTCATAGCTCACTTATCAAACCTGGCCAAGAGATTGACTACATCATAAGTTGGTTGACTCCATTATTGGCCATCTCATTTAATTTGACGTGGCTATTGTCATTAGAATAGTTAATATGTCTTTTCTGTTTCCCCTGGAATCTTCTGATGACATCTCAGAAATCATAACTGCAATTGAGATACTGAAGATACCGATTACTACTCCTTTGTAACCCACTTCACTCTCTATGCCAGGAAACCCTGATAGGCTTTCTGCCCCTATTGTACATAATTTGGTACAACTGCCATCATAAAGGATCTACGCTTTTCTCTTTGGATTCTCTTGCTAGGTGCAACAATATCGAAAGGTGTCCATGTAATTGCATGTGCCACTGTTGTTGTTGTGAGGTGCATCAAGCTGCTTCTAATGCATTGCCGTCCTACAAACAACAGAACAACACACTGCCCGGTCCGCCACCTTCCCCACAATTGTCCTTGTGTTTGAGCCCATCGTTGCAGTTACCATCCCAATCTATCTTGCTGAAAGTCTTCCTCTTCTTCATCGATCCTCAACTTTACCAGGCAGATGCCCCTTTCCAGTGACTGGTCCCTTCTGGCAGCATGTCCAGAGTATGTAAGTTTCACCATCCTTGCTTCTGAAGAACATCCTTACTTCCAAGGAACATTCTGGCTGTCATTCTTTGATGACAGGTTTCTTCATTCTTCTGGCCAAAAACCAAACCAATAAACAAAAACCCCATGCCATCAAGTTGACTATGACTCTGAGCAACCGTAGGAAGAGTGTCTGAGGGTATGAATCTTTATGGGGGCAGAGAGGCTCAACTTTCTCCCTAGAGCAGCTAGTGGGTTTGAACTGCTGATCTTGTGGCTACATGATCTAACGCTTCCCTGACAGTACCACTAGGGCTCCTTATTCTCCGGGCACTGTATGGTAAATTCATTATTCTTTGCTAACACCGCAATTTAAACGTACCCATTCTTCTTCATTCTTTTTAATTTATTTTCCACCTTTCACATGCATACAAGACACCTGACAACAACATTACTTGCTTGAGTCAGACACACAGACACACCTCCCTCCTCAAAGTGAAATCTTTGGGTTTGTTTTTTTCCCAACACTGGCAAGAGGTCATTTGCAGGGATTAGCCCAATGCAGTATGTCTTTTGGTTTCTTGACGGCTGCTTCAAGGTTTGTCGATTTTGAGGCTGTAAGATGAACTCTTGGATGGCTTCAATCTTTTCTCTGTTTATCACAGTGACAACATGGCTGGACCAGGATTCTCAGTGGTTTGGTAGTCGGAGCTCCTATGGTTGTAATCTCTCGTGACATGATGTGATCTAACATACTATAATCGACTCCCTGGTGGATTCTGGGATGAGCAGCCGAGTGGTTAGCATTTGGTGTCTTAAAGTCTTGAAGATAAACAAGCAGCCATCCAGTTGAGAAGCATCAAAGCCCACATGGAAGAAGCACACCAGCCTGACTGACCACGAGGTGCAGAAGGGACCAGTTATCAGACATCAAAGAACTAAAAATCAGATCAGTGGGTGGCCACCTTCCTGATACGATCATTGAAGACAAACATGTGCATAAGCAAAGGTGGTGAAGAAAGATGATGGTGCCAGGCTATCAAAAGATATGGCGTCTGGGGTCTTAAAAAGCTTGAAGATAAACTAGCGGCCAACTGGCTCAGAAGCAACAAAGCCCACATGGAAGAACCACAACAGCATGTGTGACCACGAGCTGTTGAAGGGATCAGGTATCAAGCATCCAAGAACAAAAAATCATATCATTGGAAAGGTGGGTGAGTGCAGAGTGGAGACTCAAAGCCCATCGGTGGACAACTGAACACCCCCTTACTGAGGGGTTGTGGGGAGGAGACGAGCCAATCAGGGTAGCAACGATGAAACATATAACTTTCCTCTAGTTCTTTAATGCTTCCTCCCCTCCACTATCATGATCCCAATTCTACCTTACAAATCTGGCTGGACTGGAGGTTGTACATTGGTACAGATAGCAACTGGAAACACAGGGAATCCAGTATAGACGACTCCTTCAGGACCAGTGGTGAGAGGGGCGATGCCTGGAGGGTGAAGGGAATGTGGGGTAGAAGGGGGGAACCAATTACAAGAATCTAAGTATTGCCTCCTCCCTGGGGGATGGACAGCAGAGAAGAGGGCGGAGGGAAACATCGGACAGGGTAACTTATGACAAAACTATAATAATTTATGAACTATGAAGGGTTCATGAGGGAGGGGGGAGTGGGGAGGGAGGGGGAAAATGAGCAACTGATATTAGGGGTTAGAGTGGGAGGCAAATGTTTTGAGAATGATGAGGGCAACAAATGTGCATATGTGCTTGACACAGTGGATGTATGTTGTGATGAGAATTGTACGAGCCCCCAATAAAATAATAATAATAAAAAAGTTGAGCGTGGAGTGCATCCCCCTTGCTCTTGTCACAGCCCTGATGGAACTGAAGGAGGTTTCCGTGGCCCATTTCCTGTCTAGGTGGGCCGTGTGGAAAAACGTGTTTGCTTCTTGCTGGGTGTGCATCTTGCTGACTTCTGCTTCTCTGCCCTTGAGCCAGTGGTCCACCATATTGCCTGTCTATTTTGAAAGTCTTCAGTGGTCTGCCACTTGATCCGCTACCTGGGATTCACTTGCCTTTGCGGTCACGAGCCTGTTACCTCGCTGCAGCTCTGGGTTTCATCAGCCCCTGCAGCTATGGGAATCAGAAGAAAACTTGAGTCTAGCATCTGACCCATGGACTGGTTCCTGCCTGGACTTGGACTTGACTGTTTCTACAACCAGAGTCATTTTCATTATACAATTTCTTTCTATACATACATATAGGCATTTCCATTCTTGCGTCTCTAGGGTACTCAGCTGAACACAATCACGAGGCTGCTTATTTGTTCAGGTGCCAGGAATTTCGTTTTAAATGTTGAGGAGCAAACCCTCCTGAAGGTGGAGGCCTTTGAGCTTCACTAGCAAGTGCTTCCAGCCCTTGTCAGCAGGCAAGGATGTGTTATTTGCACATCACGAGTTGTTAATGATTCTCCCTGTCTTCCTGACACCGTGTCCTTTTGATAGTTCAGCTTCTTGGACTGTTTGCTCCGTTTACAGATTAAGTTAAGTATGGAGAAAGACTCCAACCTTGACAGAAACCTTCCCTACTTTTAAACCCTGCAATATCCCTGTTTGAACGACTACTCCTTGCTGTGTGCACAGGTTCCACACTAGCACAAGTCAGTGTTTTAGAATCCCTAATTTTGGCAATGTTATCAATAATTTGGTAGGACTTAGTGTTGAATGTCTTTGCATAGTCAGTCAACAGAGTCAATAAAGCACAGCTAAAATATTACTTTCTTTCTTGTTGTTGTACAGTATTCTATTATATGGATGCACCCCAATTTCTTTATTTGTTCAGTTGCTAGCAGATATTTGGGTTGTTCAAATTTTCAGTCGTTATGAAAATTTAGCTGTTATGAATATTTCTGTACAAGTCTTTGTATAGACATGTTTTTCAGTTCTCTTGGTAAATACATAGAAATGCAATGGTTGGGATGTACGATAGGTGTATGTTTCATTTTAAAAGACATTTCCCAATTGTTTTTCAAAGTAGATATACCATTTTACATTTTCATCAGCAGACCTGTGAGAGTTCTACATGTTCTTGGCAAGTTAAAGGTACATTTTTTTCATTACAATTTTGCATGTTCAAATAAGTATTTTATTTTTTCTTAACGAAATATAGACATTTCAGTTCTTAATCCATATCCACTTCACATATGCCCTTTCATGAACAACTACTTAGTTTTCATCTCACTTAGTTTTGTTTGCTCAGCCTGATGCCATATTTGAAAAAATAAAACTAACATCTATTGGGCTCCTATTCTCTGCCGAGCATCACTGTGTGTGTCTCTCTCTTCACTTTTTTTTGGG